TTTCAGGGATTTTCGCTGCAGACCTTCACTGCTCCTTCTTTGTGGATGCTTTTCAGTCCATTTGAAAACAGGAATCGAATCCAAAAGTATACAATTTCTTTCCTGGAGTGGGTAGGAATTTTGAGGAAGCTGGCTGGGGTGAGCCTGGGTGGGGTTGAGAGGGACATATCTGTGCTAAGAACGAAGCAGCTAGCATGTTACCAAGAGCAAAAAGTCAGAATGAAGGCACAAGAGTTGCCTTTGCTAAACAAGCCCAGAGAGGTGAAGCAACTTGCCTAAAGCCACACAGCTCATGGTTTAGTTCCACAGGCTTGTACTCGTCTTGTGCTTCCACCCAGGATCCAATGACAACATGGAAACTGAAGCACGGGGAGGCATCAGTGTCTGTCTGGGGTCTGCAGCTAATCTGAACCACACCTGATGTGGTAGCTGGGCTCCCCACATGCCCCACTTCCTGGGGTGTGAGTGAAATGCTGGGTCCTCATGCCACCCGAGATGAGCATGACTACCCCCACATTGCTGTCCCCAGCCTGGTTGCACTTCCTCCTGCCTTCTCCAGAAGGAAGCAAACACTTCCTGTCTGGGTTGGGCAGCCTGGCCAGGTGGAGAGAGCTGCTGCCACAGCCAAAGCCCCTATGGAAGTTTCTGGAAAGAGATAAGTACCACAATTTGCCCCGAGGTGCGTTGGCTTCTGTGTGCTTCAAAACTTCTACAGTGATGAGTCACAGGCTGGTTCTGGTGTTTCTGTCTTTTGTGTAGAGGCCACAGCCCACACAGGGCTTTGTGACTGCACCTCTCTCTGGACCTGGAGCGTCACGGATTCCCTAGGGCCCAGGATTCCCTACCTCTAATTCTCAGACTGCTCGGATTAGAAGCATGTCCTACCATGGCTGTCCCTCACCGGATTATTTTAACTGACTTCTTTCAGTTTTTCATAACAGGGTTTCTCTGTGTAGCCCTGGCTGTCCTGGAACTCACTCTGTAGACTGGGCTGTCCTCAAACTCACAGAGATCCTCCTGCCTCTGCCTCCAGAGTTCTGGGACTAAAGGCGTGCGCCACCACCGCCCAGCTTAACTAACTTTTAAAAAGGGTTATTTTACTTCTATTTAATATGTCTGGGTGTTTGTCTGTATATCTATGCAACATGTGCATGCAGAACCCAAAGGGCCTGAAGACAGGGTAGGGTCCCCTCGGAGTGGAGTCACGAATGGTTGTGAGCTGCTATGTGGGTGCTGAGACCAAACCTGGGCCCTCTGCGGGAGCAGCCAGTGCTGGGAGCGCGAGCTCCATCTTCAGTCCCCAAGCTCGAGATTTTATTTTATTTTGTTTAGTTTTTGCCATGTTTGTCAAGCTGACTTCAAAGTACCAATCCTTCTGTGGCGGTGCCTGCAGTGCCTGCAGTGTCGACCACCGAACGCTGCTGTGGGAGGGAAGGAATGTCACTGGGGCTGGAGACATGGCTCAGTGGACACAGCACCAGCTGCTCTTACAGAGGGCCCAGCTCGGTTCCCACACCCACATGGGCTCACAACTACCTGTTTTGACTCTAGTTTCAGGGAGCCTGGCGCCCCCTTCTGAGCTCTGCAGGGACTTCTAACCTGTTCATGTGCAGACAGGCAAAATGCCATACATAGAAAATAAAATGAAAAACAAATTAATAGCAAAATTTAAAAACTCAGGTCATTGGACTACAATAAAGTGTGCGGGTGAGGCTTGTAACTGTTCTCTGCCCTTCAGTCAGAAGTGGGACGTGTTTAGGAATGACAAGGAGGTCACAGGTCATGTCCTGTTGTCCCTGCCCACAGCATCCCTAGAAACTTCACAGGCATCAGTGGTGGAGGCTGACTGTGGAGGCCGATGCCCACGCCTAGTTCACACCCTGGTCTTCCTCTGAGGCTGGTATCACGACCTTTCTGAGTCCTTGTGTCTTCTCAGAAATTGCATAAATGCTGGTCTAATGAGCAGTGTCTCAGCCAGGATCTCAGGAGACTGTAACACAGGGAGGATGGATGTGTTATCGTCACTACTCAAGCTGAGTTCAGGGACACGGGCACATCACAACGCACGAGTCAACTAGCTATGTGACTCACGTTGTGACCCAGGCTTCTTGGAGGGCTGAGCAAGGACGTTTGTGGAGTTCCAGGCCATGCTGGAAACTCAGTGAGACCGTGTCTGAAGAGTAAACAGAGGGCTAAGGGCATGGGTCAAGGGTGGAGCCCCAACCTAGAACGCCCAGTGAGGGGCTGGGGGCGTGGTCAGGGTGGAGCCCTGCTTAGTGTGCTGGAGGATCCAGGTTCAAACCCTGCTGAGGGAACACCCCCTCCAGTATCCGCAGGCTCTGCTCCACGCCACTCATGCACATCTTCTGTTACCCCTCACGGCAGTGCCGCTGTCTTCCTGAAAATATCACCTGAGGAACAAGTCTCAGAGACCTGTCCACATGACCCTCAGGTTTGCAGACAGTAGCGCTGGCTGCCCCCCAGCCCACTGAGGCTCCTGTTTTCAGGGCCACATGGCCGTAGTCCAGTCCTCTCCTGCCCCCCCCCTTATTTTTCCTCTTAGCCAGTACCTCATGTACCCCAGGCTGGTTTTAAATTTACTGTGTAGCCCAGGATGGCTCTGAACTCTAATCCTCCTGCCCATCCCTGAGGCTAGAATGATGGGCTGGGGCCTCTGTGCCAGGTTTATGTGGTGTTGGGAATGAAACACAGAGCACATGCACGGCAGGTGAGCCTGGGCCCTGTTCCTCTTTCTGCTCTTGTAAGTTTTCTTACTTCCTTCTGCGTGAGCCCCTGACCCTCATCCTGAGGATCTCATGCAGCTGGTCCCCACTTCCCTTCGTTGGAAAGGCTGTGTGCACAGGGGACGGACAGGTAACCAGCTGGGGCTAGCCTCTTGGTTTCTACCACAGCAGGTTTGTTGCTTTGGTCCATTTTGTAGATGAGAAAAGTGAACACTACCTCAGGATGGGGATGTTCTCAACATCACAGAATCAGACAGCAGGAAGGTGTGGTCTGTCCCTGGACCCTAAAGGAAGATTTTAATATAATCATTATGGACCCTAGAGCCACGGCTTCGCTTATAACTGCCCTGGAGATGAGACTTCTGTTCTGTTCCCTCAGTAAAGGTCCTCTTCCTTTTGGGCATGATGGTGTATGCTTGTCATCCCAGCTTGGAAGCTGAGGCAGGTGGATTATGGGCTCCAGGGCTGGGCTACAGAGAGCACTCGCACCCCAGTGTAGCAGCTGGAGAGAAGGCTCGGCAGTTACAAGCGCTGACGGCTCTTGCAAAGGACCTGGGTTGAAGTCCCAACAAGCACAGATAGCTCACAATAGCCTGCAACTCCAAGTTCTCCAAAGCCCCCTTGGAACAGCACAAGCATTGCACACATGTGACAAAGACACACATGAAGACAGCACACATACATGTAAAATAAATAAACCTACGAGAATTGTCCTAAAGTATCCTCTTCCTGAAATGAGTGTGGCAAAGCAGAATATTTTAAAACACTTGAGTAGACCTGGCTGTGGTAAGTGGGTGTTCCATTTACAGGTCCAGTTCTTATTGCTGCCTTTATAGCACAATACAGCACAAAAGCAAACCCACGGCCAGGTTCTGATAGAGCTTCATCAGTAGCCAGGGGCACAGCGCAACCGCGTCTGCTTCACCTGTGTGAGTCGCCGAGTTCTCTATGCAGAGCACAACTTAGTCACTCAATGCAATGGACAGGGAGGTGGGGTGTGATTCCATGTGACCTCCCTTGTACTCACGTGGCGACACGTGTCCTGTGTACTCGTGTGCTGGCGTGTGTTCATGTTGAGGTCAGAGGCCGATGGCAGGTACATCTTCTTCATGTTACCATCTTTCCTTCCTTCTTTCTTTCTTCCTTCCTTCCCTCCTCCTCCTCCTCCTCCTCCTCCTCTCCCTCCTCCTCCTCCTCCTCCTCCTCCTCCTCCTCCTCCTCCTCCTCCTTCTTCCTCTTTTCAGACACAGTTTTTCTATGTATCCCAGGCTGGCCCCAACCTCACTATGTAGACAAGGCTGGACTTTTTTTTGTTTGTTTGTTTCGAGACAGGGTTTCCCTGTATAGCCCTAGCTGTCCTGGAACTCACTCCGTAGACCAGGCTGGCCTCAAACTCAGAAATCCACCTGCCTCTGCCTCCTAAGTGCTGGGATTAAAGGCGTGCGCCACCACTGCCCAGCTTTCTCTCTCTCTCTCTCTCTCTCTCTCTCTCTCTCTCTCTCTCTCTCT